GTAAGTCATAAGTCCATACCGGCCGCCGGCCGGCCTACTATACTATTTTTATTTCTTTAATTTCATTCATAATCACATCATTATATTATTATATTTATAATAACATCGATCTCAAGCCTAGCTACTTCAATTCATATTGGCTTTAATTTAATATAATCTATCTTCATCTGTACTGTTGTGATTTACAGCATTCAAAGGTCTACAACCAATAGGAGATAAGGTATATATATTTCTAATCTCAAAAATCAATCGAGTTATTATATATGTTCATAATTATATTCTAGTATATAAATGTCACGAATTCAATTCTTGTTAATATATTAGGTTTCAAAATATAATATCTGAATTTAATTATTGTGTTAATTTACAGGCTCACTCAATATGGTTGTACATAGTTCCTCGTGGGATACGAAGCTTAGTGAATCACATCAAGCAAAAATATGGAAACCCTATTGTCTTGATCACTGAAAACGGTAATTATATTATATTCTCTCTATAAGTACGTTAATCACATCATCATCAATATAATCATATCATCCATTATATATATTGCATCTAAAATAATTAATTATACCTGTCCTTAATTTACGCTAAAATATATATATATCTTAGTTGGCGAATGAATATAACGAGTGAAATTTGTACATTACATGCAGGAATGGATAATGCTAAAGATGCGAGTCTAGACGACACAAAAAGAATCAATTACCACAATGACTATCTCACAAATTTACTGGCTGCAATCAAGTAAATAATTCCTATATTTTCAATTGTAATTAGTAGTTTTAATTTAGTAGTGTAATTAAGCAAAGTGGTTGAAAATAATGCAGGGAGGATGGATGCAATGTGAAAGGGTATTTTGCATGGTCATTGTTGGACAATTGGGAATGGAATGCTGGATTCAGTTCAAGGTTTGGTATAATCAAAGTAGACTACAACGACAAACTCAAAAGAATTCCTAAAGACTCCTTCAAGTGGTTTAAGAATTTCTTGACTACTTAATTAACAATATATATATACTGCATGTATATGTAGTAGCCCCAATTTAATGTATTTTTCCCAAAAACAACAATAATAATGCATTTAAAAGATCCAACTTCTGGCAACCTTTCATATATTGCTTTTTAGGATTTTTTTTTTTTTTTTTTTATATACATATTGCTTTTTAGAAAGAAGCTAGAATCTTGGCTTCATCATATCAACGGGAATTGAAGTGTGGGTGGTGAAACAGTACAGTACAGTTTGAATTTAGTCAACATTAATTATGTTTGGAATGTCTTATATATGTCTGCAACTTGTAGGGACACCATACCATTCAAGTTTTTGTCACATTTTTGTGCAGCTGCGTCTCCTTGGAACAACATTAAACCTAATTAATTTTGTCATTTTCCATATATACCAATCAAACTTCCACCCAACCACACATACCTTTACTTTCAAATCAATCAAAATAACTGGCGCGGACCCTCCAAGTTCTTCTGCCTCCATGATTATTTGAGTGTTACATTGGTCAAGTTAATTAACGTGTGATACGGTGCTTGATATCTAGATCTGAGTTTTTTTATTTTTTTTTTTCTCGAGTATTCCCTTACCCTCCAATTCAAAAATAACTCGATTCTTTTGCTATTTTCTAAATTAACATTGCCCATTAAGGATGCTTACCGTATAATAAGTGAGTATATCAATCAAAACTAAAATTTATCAAGAATTGAAGATCATATCATAGGTTGAATTGATATATAAAAATTAAGATTTTTTACACGGAAATTTTAAAAAAGACTTGTACGGACGAGTAAACATTAACATAACAGAATTACTTTTTTTTTTTTTTTTTTTTTTGAATGCACATAACAGAATTACTTAATTCACAATGATTAGAAGAAAAAAAAAATGCAAACCCTGCTAGCTTTTCCCAAAAATAAATGAGAAAAAGGACAAAATGGTACCCCAAATATTCTGTTAATTGTCATTCGATTTGGGCCACTCCTAGTTTGAGAAGAGCGAAGTTTACTAGGTTGGGTATGACTGATCCACCCCATAATGGCCTGCTTTGACTTGGTCAATCAAAACAACTAAACCCAATTAATTCAAGGAAAAAAATTTCGGAGTTGTAATTAATGGCAAATTATGCCCTGGACCCGTGTACACAATGGACACGGGCCCAAAACGACGTCGTTTTTCAAAAAAAACGCGTCATTTAGTTTAAAAAAAAAAAAATTGCGCGCGTTTTGCCGTTAACGGCGTTATTTTTTTTTGGATTATGAATGTACAGTTATGCCGTTATGAATGTATAGTTATGCAATTATGAAATTATGAACACAGAGCTCTAACATTATGAACTTACAATTATGAACATATATAATGATAAAATTATGATCATGGAGCTTTAAAATTGTGAATATAGAGCTTCGAAGATTATGAATGTACAGTTATGGAGTTATGAATCTACAGTTATGGAGTTATGAATCTACAGTTATGAGATTATGAATCTACAGTATGGAATTATGAATGTACAGTTATTGATCGAATTATGAACAAAGAGTTCTAACATTATGAACTTACAATTATGAGCATATAGTGATAAAATTATGAACATAGAGCTCTAAAATTGTGAACATAAAACTTCGAAAATTATGAATGTACAGTTATGGAGTTATGAATGTACAGTTATAGAGTTATGAATGTACAGTTATGGAGTTATGAATGTACAATTATTAACATATAGTAATAAAATTATGAACATATACTCCTATAACAAAGTAGTCTGAAATTAAAAAAAAAAAAAAAAAAAAAAAAAAAAAAAAAAAAAAAAAAGATAACAGTGCCTAACGGCACTGTTACCCGTGTCCAGCAAGCATGCTGGACACGGGTCCAACGCATAACGATTGGTAATTAATACCATGGACTCTGATTCTAAATGATGTATAAATTGTGTATATTAGTATTGTAATTGTGAACTTCCAGAATATAAATTGTGTTTCTAACATAACAACTATAGAAGAGAATTTGTTAATACAATACAAGGTCATCAAATCTTAATACGTTAATAAAGTGTGACTGCATTATTTAAAAAAGGAACTTGTGAATACAAAACAATGTAATCAATTACATATATATTAACATTGTGTGTTCACAGTATACAAATTATAAATTTTTAAAAGATAAATTTTAAATATTTAAACTTGGATCCACCTTATCCACCTTGCAAAGGTGAACCCAGGTTCACAAAATAATTTGCGAACTTTGGTGTTTCCTAGTACATGGTAAATTCAAGAAGCTTATGGCAGGTTTATCTTTCCAACTAACAAGCCATAATGACACCACATTTGCACACACTCATATTGCACCACTTACATTGGACTACACCCCATCGTAAAATTTAAGGAAATGCCCCTACGTTATTCTTTGCACTACAACTTTTTCCAAATCATCTATATTATGTTTTATATTTATTGCTTACTACTTTGTTATAAATTAATCTAAAATTTGTTAACTACTAAGCAATGTAATGACACACATATTATCATTTTAAATAGGTGATCACAGGATCGAACCCGATGATGGTGTGGTATTAATTCTTTTGCCTAATATTCTTTTTGCATAAAATTAAGGTTGTTAGAGTGCCAAGTTTGTGTACACTATATCAATGTGCTAAGCCAAACTCTTATGTCTTGTCAATGGATAAAGGGAGTGGGACTGGGCATTTACCTCTTGGTTTTTTCTTTTGTAAGTATCAGTGCATTATCTCCTCGTAAGCACTATTTGGTTCCAATTCTTTTTCTTTTTCTTTTAATTTGGAAAGAACATAATTAAATTACTATAGTAAAATCATACACTTGTTCCAGTAATAACTATGGAATAATGCATGCATCCGAAGACTGACAATGAATTATTTCAATTGTACTCCTTAATCTCAGTGTTTAATTATTTCACTTGTTGCCACTCAACTAAAATAGTATGTTCTAAAATTTTCATATTCATTTTGTTTTATAGGTGATGTGGAAAATCGACATATAGTACTCGAGATTGTACACTATATCTTGTGTGAGGGGCTCAATTGAGAAGGTATTGAAAAGAATCGAAATTGTAACTTTTCAAGTACGAGAATTATTATCTACCCCCTCGGTCACTAATTCAATGGCTCTCATCTCCATTTTTAATCATTATTTAAAAAATGAAAAATGGTCAAATAGGCTCTCCAACTTTACACAAGAATGCAATTAGACTCTTGAACTTTTGAAAGTTACAATTAAGCTCATGAACATGCTATTTTCGTGCATTGGAGCTCCAAAATTGATTAATGACATGTAATAACAAGTCACTTGATTCCAACGATACTCCCGCAACAATCACTGATTGCCTCTGAAGAAGGCGACCACAAGGTCGCCACCTTCTTCATTGAGAAGGCCGGCAACCAAACTGGTTTCCTTCTTCGTCGATCAGAAGAAGCCGACCAATCCGGTTGAGCGGTGGTCAACTTTTTGAGACAATCAATGGCATCCAACAATTGTCGATGGTAACTTGAATACCGGTAACAAAACCCGTTGGTTACCGGTAAATTATACTTATTTGACAAATTTCAATATATTGGAGTGTTTAATTGTAACTTTCAAATTAATGTCCAGAGGCGTAATTGTCTTCCTGTGTAAAGTTAGATGAACTATTTAACCATTTTCCTTTAAAAAAAAATCTACTTTTAAGAGAAGAAATGTTACACACATTGAAAATTATAAGAGTTGTTTAAATTTTACACTCACTAACATTTATAATTAAATATAATTATATTTCTCAGCCCTATCAAGAAGGTCCAAGAGAGACATAAATCTAAAAAGATAATTTGATTCTTCTTTTAAATGTAACGTAGTACAGCATACATACAACATTATAAAAAATCTTAAAGAAGTAATTAATTAGGGGGTTGACCATGTAAATTCAGTTAGGGAGGAAAATTCCAAGCAAGCCACATATAAGCATAAAGCTAGAAAAGTGCGTACAAAGGGAGAGAGAAAACAGGGAGGGGGAAAGAGACTCGGGGTTTTTCGTTAAGTCTTGGGTTTTCTGTTATTACTTTGTTCATGGCCATCTTTATGCACATCTTAATAAATTTCTGATTTTTACTCTGTAAGTTTCCTGAAAATTCTCCCCAAAAAAAAAATTGAAGAAAAGGGCATCTGTGTTTTTTTTTTTTTTTTGTTTATTATTTTCTGAAAAAAGATTAGAAATAAAAAGGTTAACATAGATACGGAATTCAGAGAGTCTGTCTGGGACTGATCTCTTACATCCCAACCCAAAATGCTACTTATTATTATCTGATTTCTTTGTGGAAAAGATTAGTACATGCCAGATTTGAGCTGTTTTTTGTTCCCAAGTTTGCTTTGATCTGGAGTTGTGTTGTAGGTGTGTGATGGATGATCAAGATTTGAAGTTCATGTGCAAGCTGTGTAAGAAGAAGTATCCATGTGGGAAGTCACTGGGGGGTCACATGAGGTCTCATGTGAATGTGATTCCAACTTCTTCATCATCTGAGTTAGATGAGATGAAAAAGATGGCATCTTTGAAGATGCAGGCAAGATTTGAGCTTGGTGGGAATTCTGGGTATGGCTTAAGAGAGAACCCTAGGAAGACATGGAGGGCAACAGGCTCCAACCTCTCTGTGCCCCAAGAAAAGGTGTGTAAGCAATGTGGGAAAGTTTTCCAGTCCATCAAAGCACTGTGTGGCCACATGGCTTGCCACTCAGAGAAAGAGAAGGGTGGTGGGTTGAAGGATGAGCATTCTTGGACTAGTGAGAGCAAGAAGGTTATGGTGATGGATAGCAATTCTGACACAGAGGCAGAGGACCTGAGGAACAAATCATCTTCTGCAAGGCCTAAGAGGTACAAGAAAATTGTCCACACTTGTTCATTTACTTTGCCTAATCATGTTGTTAATACTGGGTCTGAGATGTTTGAGCAAGATCAACAGGAAGTAGCCAAGTGTCTGATGATGTTGTCTAGGGATTCTGGGAACTGGGATGGTGTTAGTTCATTTATGGAGTCTTCTGATAATAACTCTGTGGTTTTAGAGACTAAATCATCTTCTATTGACATGAAAACTCCTAAAATGGATGCCTCCAATAGAAATGAATCACCCAAAACCAGGAAAATCAAAGGTATTGCAGATGCTGAGGTTATAGAGTCTGAGAATTCTGATTCCATGTACTTCTTAGGTGAAAATAAGACAGCCGAATCAGATGTTTCTGTTGATGGATTCCACAGATTCGAGTCTAGGATTAGTGTTGAAACTAGACGTGACGGTTCTATTGCTGAAAAGGACCATTTGAAGGTCATGAATAGAATCAAAGGGTATATAAAGTCAAGATCAGGATCAAAGGACTACGATTATCGTGATTTTGGAGTGGCTTCAAATGCAGGGAAGCATGATTCAAGAAAGAAAAGCAAAGATAGCTCTTATGATCCTGAATACAAAACGGGTTCCTATAAGAAGATAAGGCTCAGTTTCTCTGATACTAAGAAGAAGAAGAAGTATGAGTGTTTGAACTGTAAGAAGATCTTTAGCTCTTATCAGGCTCTTGGTGGACATAGACCGTGCCATAAAAGAACTCTCGAGTCAAGATACGAGACTGGTGAGAACCGTCTGGATGTTGATACTACCTATAATAATAACATAAATGGTGGCAACCATAGGGAGTCTCTTGGTAGCAGAAAAGCAACTGGTGAAGGTTCAGCTTGCTACTTGGGGACAAAGATTAAGGCCAAGAACGCAAAGGGCCACGAATGCCCGTTTTGCCACAGGGTTTTCAAGTCTGGTCAAGCTTTAGGTGGTCATAAACGGTCACATTTTATGGATGGGGCTGAAGAAAATAGGCACCGGACTCAAGTTATCAAAGCAGCAATACCCGGTTTACTTGATCTTAATGTTGTTCCCGTTGAGACTGCAAATGATGTGCAGTTCATGTGGTAAGCAGACAGGTATTTGGCAAAGGATTCTTCACCGGATGCCTCGTTCTTTAGGAAGCTGCTGGCATGTACAAACAAGTTGGAGGGCAGAGTTTTCACACCCTGCTGATTCTTGTTAACACCAATGATGTTTGTAAGATCGAGCCTCTCAATTTCTCATACCATCCCATTTACATATTCTCATAGAATATGCCTAAACTTTTTGCTAATTAAGTTCATACATTTGTTCGGCTCCAAATGATAACATTATGTCCAAATTTTCTATTCCTCCTATGATCTATATATAATCTATTCTTCTGTTACAGACCCTTAAAGAAAACTTAACTGCTTCTTTTGCCATTTTTCGCATATATATCTTCTTATCTTCTCATTGTTTGAGCAAAATTTTGTTCACTGCACAGTCATGTGGCATTCATTATCTTCCTCCAATTAGCATCTTAGTGTAAATATTGGTGTGGAAACAAAACAAGTCAGGGTGTTGACTTGGTCATCCCTATATTTCTTCATGAATTGACATCTTCTTGGGCTCTCCTGCTGTGATGACTATGTCTGCCCTTTTCTTGCAGAAAAAAATGCAGCCATTGACTAAGATAAGGAATTTAGACATAGTCTTCTGGAAAAAAAAAGTTTTTTTTTTTGCATTTGAAAAGAAGTTAGCAGGATGGTCATGGATATTGGTTTCTAGAATGATGATGGACCCTAATAAGTTGGTATGTAGTGGCCATCTTATGTGTTGGTGTCATGTGAAGTTTACCTCTTTGTTGAGCATTGACTTTGACAGAAAAGGGTTTGTTAGCCTTTTGTAGTCTTGTTTGGCAGCCCCCAAATCCCAAGCTTGGGCAATGGACCAAACATAAGTTGAACTAATTAAAACATATATATTTCAATACCAACTTCTATAGTGTGGACCAGCATCAGTGCCATTTGTAGTAGGCAGTGGTAATCAGCATTGAAGAAATTTGCATACTCCAATGTTATATATCAAATTTAGCCAACATTTGGCTTGGTGCATTAGGTGGACACGCATGGTAGGATAGTTATAACTAAACTCGTTACACAATAATAAGTGTAGTTAGTTACTAGTTATTGCATTGACATCAAACATTTCATCTTACCAGCGACAGTGTGGGAGTAACCTCTCAAAGTGAGGAGAGCTTCTTATACGTAGTAAGCAAAGGTCTAGCCTCTATAGTTCAATTGAATTACCACAATTTACATCCTCCCAGATACTCTTGTCAGGCAGGGGTGTGGAGCCCTTGGAGTTGGTGATTCAACCTTGGGAAGAATGAAACATTCCAACTACCTTGATTGTGCAACTGTTGTGCAGTATTTATTCTTACACAGTTACACTAAATCTACAATTAGTGGCCTACTTAAGAATGATCTATATTGTATGGGATGATTTTAACTTTTTCTACTATATTTTTTTTTGGCTTAGAGTGGACTAGTATAGGGGTCCATAATAAACATAAACATAATGATAATAGTTGCAAAATTAGTTGGGCCGTTATACTTGAAAAGTATAGATGGGCCCACTCGAACTTATGGTCAGGTTGTGGGCCAAACCAATTAAGATCCCACAAGCTCAGTCCATGATCTATCTTATCATTCTCCAATCTGAACTTACAGTACATATTCATTATGCTCTTGGGCCCAATGGCCATTAATTTCTATTACTTGGAAGAGGAAATTAAGGGAGAAATGAATTGTAATTTCGTGAGAATTTAAATTACATTATTTGGTAAAAATGAATAAAAAAATTCAGTAAAAATAAATAAAGACTAAAATATTCTTGTATAATAATAATAAAGGTAAAATAGTAATTTAACATAAAATTACAATTCCACAAAGTATGTAATTGCAATTCCCCGGGGGAACCAAGGAAGTGTAATTCTATGGTTGGAGAGAATTACAATTCTGTGGAACTGCAATTCCCTCCAAGTAAACCATGGAATTGCAATTCCATGGAGTTTGGTATGAATGAAATTACAATTCTATCCTACCAAACACCCCTTGTTAAATTAATCCTTCCAATTTTATACTACTCAGTATATGATTATCCAAACATACATACCCTATTCACCATAATACAAATTATTCTCCATTAAAATCTATTAAAAAATCCTTCAAAATTTCAGTTTAATTTCTCTCAATCTATTAAGATAAGAAACAATGCCTATAAATTCTGATTTTTGTTTTTCCTTTTTTCCTTTTCATGCTAAAATGATAGTTTTTGCATGCAAGCAAAAAAGAATATTGCGGTTATGATGCATTATTCTCAACTTCTCTTTTTTGGAGAAGTCTATGTACTTCAGCCAAACAAGCCCTACCAAAGAGCAATAAATTTTCTTCTTTTTTTTTTAAATTTTCCAAACAGAAAATTTTAAAAATAAATAAATAAAAGCAGGCTTGAAAGTTGAAACTTTGGGTGAAAAAAATGGAACTTTTTGTGAAATTAAAATATTTGGTGTGTGAGATTTACGGCAAATGGTGGAGCGAGTGGGAGTGGGATGCTAAATGTTGATGCTACCATGGGGAAACAAAATCGCAGCATAAAAGGCAAAAAAAAGTGAAAAAAGTTAAAAGATGAAAAGGAACATGGTAAAAAGTAATGTCCGTACTCCGATGACACAACGAAGCATTATGGAAGTCCACGCTCGCCTGCCTCACACTTTTTTTTCTTCTTCTTTCTTCTTTTACCACATAATAATTGATGGCCGAATAAAATTTCTTATTAAAACTCAAGTATTTCAAAAAGTGTAATTTAAATTGAACAACAACAATTATCAAACCTAATTTTAAGTTAATCTACACATAAACTACCTATAATATGCAATACCTTCAAAAAGACAGCAACTACCTTCACGCATAAATGGACAAAAAAAATATTGAAAAATAAAAATAAAGATGCAGAAAACATATATACCTAGCTACTATTTTGTTAAATATATATGTAGTTTGTGTTTTCTCAGCAAACTCATCATTGTTCTGATAAATTGATTTGATTGATCACAATTAGGAACCAAATCCAGGAGTAATATAATTAACAAATGCTCATGGTTAAAGAGCTAAGTAAGTACATTATATATGATTTCTATATACATGAACCATTGATTGGCATTAATCAAAACCACCTTTTTATAATAATATATTATGGCATCCATGCTAGAACCTGGAAGCTATATCTGATCTGCACAATCCTCTTCTTCAGTTATGGTAGATTGGGCTTGGTAATAGCTAGGGGCCAATACCCAATTTTCAGATTTAACTTTACCACCAAGTTAAATCCGTCGACCCTGGGTTGGGGTTCAATCGAATTAGAAATGGACATATGCTAGCTATATATATATATATGCTGCTATATATACCGTATATGCCTGCCTTCATGGGTGCTGCTTCAATTCGTTCTTAGCATTAGTTTATACTGGAAATAAGTACAATAACCTAGCTTCGATCTTCATCATCTACGCACATTCATTGAACTCTCTGATCTGCATTGCTAAAAGATTATGCATTATCAGAAAATTTAATTTGCAATCAGGACAGCATAAGAATATGCATATATGGCAATTGGCAAACTAATATTCACCGACAATATTTCAAAGCATATATATGATGGTTTGGATACTCAGACGAGACTGAAGATATGCTTTAGTTTATTTATGCCGAAAGCCATGTGACTGACTAGCTTATTCTATTCGATCTGCAGTTGTGCATGCATTTATTCCGTGAATAAGTAATATCCAGAAAAAAGTGAACTAAACAAGGCAATAACATTTGCCTTTTTCGTTCTCTTTCTTAAATTGCTTTCCATTAACGTACAATATCTACAGATAGGGTGTACTGCAGCCTGCATGGGCAGCTCAGTTGGTCACAGGAGTGAAGTTTGGTAAAAATGACCCGCACAGTAGTCTGAGATCGAGCTAACCTTTCAAAGTGAGGGGGCTCTTTGTGCGCAGTAAACAAAACTTTAGCCTCTATGTTCAGTTAAGTTACCATGATTTATATCCTTCTAGATGCTCTGTCAGGTCGGGCATGGGGAGTCTTTGGGGTTGGGCACCACTGTAATCCAACTTACTAAAAAGTAGTGAATTTTCAAGAAAATTCTTGGTAAAATGTTTTCAAGCAACTAAAAGCTAGGGGACTAAAGCCCCGAAGCACAAAGTCAAACTCAATTGCACTGGAGGATATGTCCTATTTAACAGCTGGGTAGTGGAAACTACATATATTTTGATAAAGTGGAAAGTCACAGAGATACGATTATGATAGAAGATCATATCTATTAAAGTTAACCCCACTTTATGCATATTCTGTACACAAGAGAAAGTTCAAGATGTCATATAGCAACTGTTACATTAGCTCTTGGCCTTTTTGGTTTTCTACTAGTCATGAATTCTTAATATTTGATTAATTTAAAGTTAAATTATTGTCAAAATTCAATCTCTTAATACTTGTTATTCCATTGACAATTTACTTCTAATTCACTATAACCTTTAAATTAAAAGCCACAATTCAAAAATATAAACTTTAATTAAAGTAGATAGGAAGGCATATGAGGACCAGAAAATTCTCAGTTTCATATTGCGTCATGGGAATTTATAAATAAGAACATAAAAATATTGAAAATAAATACTTTTACTAACTATTACCTATAAAAAGAGCCAATTGCATTATATTATACATGAATATTTTTAAGGATCGGAGTTGCACAACATCATCCTATTCTATTAGAAATAAAATTATTTCTTCAGTATTACCTAGATTTGTTGCACACCTTTTTTCTTTTATAAAATAAGAGGGGTACAAATATATAATTATATCTGACACTTCAAAATAATAATAATAATAATAATAATACTAGGAAACTTCATGTTTATACATAGGCGCTAGGAAACTAACTTTACTAATTACTAGTTGCTTCAATGTAAGATGGTTTGTACAAGAAACAAAGGGCAATAGGAAAATGATACATGTATTTTTAGGGAGTAAAATTCTTGTCACGAGTTATGATTTTATTGATGAGATAGAAAGAAAGTAATAAAAATTATGTTTAATTATTTTTTTTGGATAAATTAAAATATAATAGGTAAGCAAGGAATAAAAAATAGAATAGAAAATAAGAGTCAGTGTAGTATTATTCGGAAAAATAAACTGTTATCAATGAAAGCTACGCTTCCGGGCGGCCTAGGGATTGAGGTATCCTACGACTCCTACAGCAGTTAATTAGCAGTATGGGGCCATGGACCTCAGAGCATTCATGATATGGGTGTACTATACACGAATACACTTGTGAGTTGATATTAATCTATAAATTAAATTATTATAATTTTTTTTTAAGTATCACTTGACACTAATATTTTTTTGTATCAAATACAATTATATGTGATTAATTAAACTAAATACTGTCAAATAAGTGTTTACAATATCTAGTATAACTTAAATACTTCCTTTGTCCCATTTTATCCATATCATATTCAGATTAATTCTCATTCTTTTTTTAAGGGATGAGAGTGCACCTGAGCCAACCAAGCTGGTTATGTAATACAAAAAGTATTTTGTATAGTTGTATAACCAGTTCCAAAATTGATATTTAGTACCTGATCTCTTATGATATTACAGCTTGTCTTGAGTCTTTTCAATAGATGACTCCTTTAATTTAATGCTTCTTTTCACACATGGTGTATTGATAAGTAATTAATGTGCAGACTGAAAAATACTGACATGTGAAATATTGCAGCATGCATTTATAATATGATACGATATGACGTGAAAGGGATAGGCATACCTCATATGGTATTACTTGTTTCGTATCCCAGGGGGCACAATATCCCCAAGCAATCCCTCATCTGGTGGAAGTTGTGGGGCTGCCATTGCTGCATTGGGGTCTCTATTATTACCCTGCTGGCTCTGATGCGTCTGAGGAATACCCAGAGACCCTTCTTGGGGAAACTGGAGGGCTGGAAGATAGAATTGTGAGGTTAATGGGTAGGAGTGGCTCATATATGCAGCCTCACCAAGAAATCCACCTCTAGGGAAACCAACAGTATGGTGACAGTGTTGCCCCTCATATGTTGTGATCACAATTGTCGGGTCTTCAGAGGATCGCTCAACTCTTTTCTTCACTGTGCATTTAGTATTAGTACACCGGTAGTAACTTCTGCAAATTAAACCATTCAATACCCTTATGTACATTAAATAAATTCATTTTCATTTTCATTTTGCCATCTTTATATGCAGCAGCAATTAGTTTTCACCAGGCCATCTTTAATTTGGAGAAATAATCCAACACAAATTAATAGATTGATCTTGATGTGAGGCAATTCAAGAAAACACTGTACTGATGATGGCAAATTGAGGGCACTTACAGGTGAAAATTTTGATTATCAAATACTTCTGGGAGGGAAAACCAGACCTGGGAAAGGGGCTGTTTTTAACAGCTTTCTGTCCATACTTCCTCCACCTATAACCGTCTTCCAGGTGATCAACTTCACTTTTAGTCATGAATGCAAACCGAGGTTGTCTGATTCGCTTCTGGGCCTTCTTTTTAACCTTGCTTCTGTGGAATATTCAGCCTAAAGTATCATTATAAATGTGATTGTTTCATCATATCATAAGAGCAAGACAACATAAAGGCATTTTATTTTTTAAGTACAAAAACATGGAAATATTAAATAAAATTCCAATTGATAGTGGTGTATATATAACTACATCATATCGATCTCATAGCTAGGACCATATATATGTTTATTCATTAAAGAATGCCAACCAACAATAGCAAGGGGAATGGATTTTTGTTGGCAAGATAGTACCACAGATTCATGTTGAAATGAATTTATCCTCATCAACATCAAAGGGAAACAATCAATCATTTGAAAATTGAAAGCATTCACAACTTTCAACTTTTATAGTGGGGCATATATATAATGCTTGAAAAAATACTAATTATTATCTCGAAAGTATATACTTCAGCCCCCTACCTCATATTAATTGGCAGAAAGAAGAAAAAAAAAAAAGAGAATAAAAACATATAATCCTTTATAAATTATAATTAATGATTAACATGTCAAAGAATTAAAAAAAAATAAAAATATAGCATGTGTAATACTCCTAATGATTACTATAGAGTATTTGTGTGCTAGAGTTTCCTCTAATTTAGTATATAAAAGGAAGTTCAGCCTCAGTCAATGCTTAATTAGAATTGAGATTTAACTTTCTTCCCAAAAGGCGAAATCCCCAACCCCGACTCGACAAAGTATTTGGGATGATGTAAATTATAATAACTTAGCTGAACCACAGAGGCTAGCGCCCCCTCACTTTGAGAGGTTACTTCCACACTGCCGCTGGTGAGACTCGATCTCTGGTCATTCTTCTCAAATTTCACCCCTATGACTAACTGAGCTGCCCATGCCGGCAATTGAGATTTAACTTGAGGTTCTCTTAGTAGGAGTGAGATTACTAACCAACTAATAAAGAATACAATGACATCTTTACACGCACAAAGTCTGCTAGTATTATAAAAGCTCTAATAAATGGGTACAATGAATGAGCTTAGACAGACGCAAACAATGACCTGGAACTGGATTCACTGCAAAAGTCTCCTAGCTACTTTCCTTTCAAACAAAACCATTTGCCCATCCCATCGTGCAAACTAAAAGGCTAAGCCGTGCCACTGCACATGCCTCGTAGGGGTATTTCGTTCGCAAATTAAAGTGAAGCATTTATAGCCCTCCATTTCCCACCTAAGAAGACAAACTAGAAATACTAGTTTTCACTATATATATCTAGGACTAGTATGCCAACCTTCATGTGCCACGCCTAGGTAAGGTTGCTCCACAAGCAACATGCACCTACAACATAGAGTTTAGATTACTATACAAAGCTAAATCTAACACGGCCACCATTCATCAATCTTAAAGGCCTTTTCATACAAAGAGAATACAATAATTTAATAAAACAATGTCAGGTTTACTCCGTGCGCACTTTCAAGTAGTCGCAACAGGTTTCTCTTGTCATTAAAAAAAAAAGATTATTCATTGCAAAAATACTTAAATGAAGAACATGTTGAGAGCTATTTCTGCGAGATTCCTATTCCTCCCACCAAACATATTCAGAGAAGTATTATATATAGCAAACAAGTTACGTGCACACCAATAGTAGATGCCATAATTCATCATTTAAAACTTTAGAAATGCACTCTTAATTGCATAATAATAAGCCGTTTCAGAAAGTAGAAATGACTTAAACAATAAGTTAATTATAAGTCATACATACATCAAAATAAATACCGACAAAATTTTTAAACATGCGTGTGAATGCGTCCTTTAACAACACTACCTCTCCGTGAAATGTTAATGGGAAGACGATGAGCATGGGAGAAAAGCAATAAATTATTAAAAAAAAAAAAAAGGAAAAAAAAAGAAGACAAAAGTGTATCTTTATAAATTAGCATGCTCTCGATCACTTTCGGCAGTTCACACACAAATTTGTTGATTTTTTAGATCCAATTTTCATTTTAAAGGATTTGTGAACTCCATAAAATTTGCACAAAGAAAGAGAGGTAAACCGTACGTAGCACGCCATTCCCGCCGCAATAACGGCTGTGCTGAAACCACGCAACACCTGAAATACCGAAAAAGCCCAAACTTTTCGGGTAAATCGCGAAAACCCTCTTTCCCCCCCAACTTACGTGACAAATTTTGATACTTACGAAGGAGTGTATGAACGCGGAATGCATCATTCCGCCTCTATTCCCGGAGATTTTAGCTTACACGGAAAGTTTTATCAGTTTTTTTTCTCATATAATAATTAAATATATATATTCATATAATTACGACTCCTAGTAGACTCACAGTTGATGCGAGAACACACACTCACGCTGTATCAGCAGGCTGCCGCGAGGTGGAGCCACCGGATGCGGTAGACTTCTCCGGCGCATCATCGGAGGAGCTGGAACACGTCTGCTCCGCCTGAACCGCAACCGGTTCCGTAGCATCACTCGGCGTGGCAGCCGCGGTGGTAGCACTCTCCAGGACGGAAAACCGGTCATTACTACTATTTCCCGCCAAATCGGAGTCGATCCTACTACTGAAGCCGCCGCCGCCTCCGCCTCCGCCATGCTCCTCCTCCTCCTGGAAACTCCAGCCGAAGTCGCCGAGTATGTTGCTCTCGTCCTTCTCAACGCCTCCGCCGCCGAAGAAGTAAACGCCGACAGAATCCCCCCCGCCTCCCAGTGCCCAGCTAGAATCGGTGGCGAAATCATCGACTCCCCGATCGACCTTGCCCTTGTCTTCGTCCATGCGAAGCGTGGATGGTCGATCGAGGTCGATGATGAGAAAGCTAGGGTTTAGAGCAGAAAAAGAAAGTAGAGATAGAGATAGAGAGAGAGAGTGTGTGAGAGGGAGAGAAAGCCGCGTATTCCTGAGTGAGCTTTTTTGGGGAGTGTTTGAAAGCTTTGTCGCGTCAAGACATGAGCTGAGAAGACTGGAGTGAGAAAGAGAGAGAAATTTTATTATTATTTTTTAAAGTAAAAAAAGTCACCGTCAACATCTAAATTGGTACGGGAGAGAGGAGGGGCTGATATTTATGCATTCATAGGACTAGATTGTGTTCCACGCGCTTAATTTTATATTATTTAATCTTTATATCTTTCTAGAATGATAATTTTAGGTTCCACATCTGCGTGCGCATATTTCAGTTAAAATTGATTAACTGATGGAATCGAATTTATTCAATTAATTTATATGATCAATTAATTAGAATATGTAATTAGCTTGATTGGTGTGAGTGATCGTGTGCACTTTCATTTTTTTAATCAGGCTAACACTTTTAAATGAGAATTAGTTTAAGTATGGTACAAGTTGAAAAGTCTAACAAAAAAATTAATTAGGTTCGGTGATTGATTTTAATGTTTAGAATTTTTTTTATCAACAAAGCTTGAAACTTCGGTTGTACAGTTGTACATAGCTCAAAACGTGAGTCCGTACGTACATGAAACCCAAAGCATGAGTTCATACATGATATTACCGAGTTTGGGTTAATCGAATTAAGGAAAAGAAAATATATTTTTTCGGTAAAGTCAAAGTTATTATTACAAAATTTGTTTTTTTTTTTTTTTAATGTATTATGGACTCTCGAACCCATGTCCTTATAATGGGAGAGTTATTTCGTGTCATTAGATCACAAGGTTATTGGTCAAATTTTGGTTTTGTTAGTGGCTAGGTGAAATTGACAAATTAGTTAATTTGATTTATTATTAATAAAATTAATCAAAATGATTGTATAAGAACTTTGAGTGGATGATATTTATAGAAAATAGAGTAAATACCCAAAATGGTTCCTCGACTATAGCTAAATTCACAAATTGGTCCTCGACTTTCAATTTCAACCAATTAAGTCCTTAACTTTGTAATTTTAACACAATTTGATCCTCTGTTTATTTGACCGTTTGTTGACTGTGATTTTTGAGGATATATATGTAATTGCATGGTCCATCGTCGGTTTTTTAAGGTTCTGGTTGCATTTCCAGACCGCACGGTTACATTTGAATCCGCTGTCAAAAGCAATCTACCAAATCTGGTCGCCTTTCTTCATCCTCCCTTCGGATTCAATGTAGTTGAGTTCGTACCATAGCGAAGAAGACGACGTGTTTTCGAACCAGTGCAACGTTATTCTGGAGGCCTCCACGTGCTTCGACGAGAGCTGAAGGTTCTTCTGGAGATCGTCGATCACAGTTAACAAACGGTCAAATAGATGAAGGACCAAATCATGTCAAAATTACAAAGCTAAGGACTTAATTGGTTGAAATTAAAAGTCGATGATCAATTTGTGAATTTAGCTATAGTCGAGGGACCATTTTGAGTATTTACTCTAGAAAATATAGTGTTTTAACTTTATCATTCATCATGGTTGAGGGATGTCAATTAATTCTTACGGTTTTTCTGTTTCGCTATGGTGAATTCTAGATGATGATAGTATTGGTGTTCCTTCGACTATGAGGTTTGTTGTTTTTTAGTAATTAAATGTTCAATCTAGATGTCTCTCACTTTGTTTGATAAAAAAAAAAAAAAAATTAAAAAAAAAAAAACAAAAACAGCCCTAGTTGGTTTTTATTTTTATTTTTATTTTTATTTTTAAACACCCCTAGTTTTAAAAATATCAAAGAAAGAATGGGGATTTGAGATTTTTTTTTTTCTCCAGCCAATTCAAAGAAAAATAGTACACAGTTTTTTGAAACATTGTGATCTATTTAAAATTAGAAGGTTATACCTCTCAATCTCATAATTAATATAACTGCACTTGGTCCATGGGTATTGATGGGGAATATTCCCTAAATACCCCAACTACACACCTGCTCAGCACCTGGCTTAGTCATTATGAGGAACCGGTCTCGACCTTGACCGACATTATTCTAGACCAATCCTACCTTAATGTGAAGACCGAGCGAGTAACTTATCAGCATATACCTTTCACTTTACCTAGAGATAAGAACTGACCCCGCAGACGGAACAGGGACGTCAGGAACCTTTCCACACATGGGAGAATTAGCAACGCCTCCCACCCCACCCCCTTGTGCATGAGTCACACATGTCGACCCCCGACATGTGCTCCCTTCGCACTTCTATAAATAGTGCATTTAATACCTTGAGAAGAGACTTTTGACATTTCCACCTAACCTTACTCAGTTCGGGACGCTCTGACCCACTGTCACTTCTTCCCTATCTCAACTACGTACTTAAACCAACAAGTAGGCTTGTACCATCGTACGGTCTAAATCTGTATACATACACTTAATTATCTACATACTCCCCCAGTGTATTTACGACATCAGGTGTGTTTAAGGCATATTATATCATGCAGTTGCGAGTCTATCCCTTTTTTTTTTGTGAGACTGCCCTCGCTCAAGACGAACATTAACTTACCCTTTTGAACCTAGCACAAGTGACATTGGCAAAAAGGAGCCCCAAAATGTCGGGACCTCTAAGACTGTTGTACCGAATCCTTCACCTGATTAAGACTTGCAAGAAAATCAGCATATTTATTGCCTTCCTTCATCAAAGTGAATGTCACCTCTTCAAAACCTGAGGCGAAATACCTGCAATCAATAATGAGTGTAATGGTAAAATCATTAACCTCGTAGTTTTCACCCATCACCTTAACCACCATTTTCGAGTCAAGGTCAACAATCAATCTCTGGTACCCCATCTCCTTACCAACTCGGCAATGGAACTATCCGTAATACCAATATTAACTACAAATACCACAATCCAACTTCCTTTGAAATCGTGGAACATCCCACCCGCACTGGCTCGGTCCGTCATGCCTTTCTTAGCCACATCTGTATTGAGCTTCACCCACCCTACATTAGGAGGACCACCCAATCCACATGGCCCTGCCTCCATGCCTCGTATTTCTTTTAATTAATTAACAAGGAGCCTTATAGCTTCCTTAGCAAGCACGACCGCCATATCAATCTCCTCCTTTTGTGTTTTTAACTGTCCCATTAAACACCCTACTATTCCGAGCTTTTCATAACCTCATATATAGGGTATAGGAGAACTTAATGCCCCATATCGTCTCGTCATTGATCCATTCATTATTAAAAATGGAACGGTATCAAGGATTCATTTTGTTGCATGGACATTTGTCTATGATATAAGTATTGTATGTTTGAATTTGTTGATTTTTTTTTTTATTAATCAACTTGTCTAGTTTTATTCAATTCGTTTTGTTGAATTATGTTTGAAATTAATCACACAAATTTGATTTACATTTAAAATTAAATATTTATGATGTAGGCCGTAAAGGTCTATGCAATAAAACTATATATATAATTAATATGTATTGTAAGAGTTATTTAATAATTCAATAGTAATTTGAATTCAAATTAGTTTAAATTCAATATCATTATAGAACATATACTACTTTGTAATAGAATTAATAATATTTCAAAAAAAATAAATTAATATCACAACGAACATTGAAAAATCTCTCATTAAAGAATTGCTATAAATAAATAAGTAGTATTATGTACTATGATGATACATTTGTTACCACTCCAAATGTATGGTTACAGGATTGAACCCTGGTGTAGTACATAAACCACAAGCCTTAAGTAGATTAATTTGAATATGAAAAATGTTATTTTCTCATTTAGAATTTTAAAGTGTTTACCTATTTGGAAAACATTTCTTTTTTCAAAACTCATTCAAACAAGTTTTTGGGTCACTCGCATTCAAAAAAAAAGTTTTTGGGTCACTCCCTACCTAATAAAATAAATTTTCCAAAAAGTTTCATATTGTTTCATAATTAACTAGAAAAAAAAAAAAAAAACTAGAAATGTGTTGCAGTTCCAACTTTTTTCAAAAATAAATCTTGAGTCAAAATAGAAAATAAAAAATAAAATGTTTATAAATATACCCTATATTGTTATATATACACATTTCTCTCTCACGTTTCATTTTCTAACATTTTTAAAAATGGTTACTATCTCATTTTTCACATTTCCTGTTTCTCATTTGCATGCTACATAACTCTCAAAAAATTCTCGAGGCTCAAAAAGTTTGCAATTTAATTGTCAATAATTGCAATTTAATTTGATGTACACCCCTCCCCCCACCACACACAAACAAACATATATATATATATATATATATATATATATATATATATATATATATATATATATATATATATATCCAACCTCGATCTTATCTTGGCTACGTCCTTGATGAGTGCAGACGATTAATTGCTACTTTTAATTTTGTTTCAGTTATATTTATTCCTAGATTGCAGAATGCTATGGCTCATGATTTAGCATCAGATGCCTTTAATTATTCTATAGCTATGTACTGGGATGGAATCCCGCCTAACTCTATTTCGATTCATATATAAATGCAACCACATTGGTTTTTAAAAAAATATATATATATATATATATATATATATATATATATATATATATATATATATAAGTAACCTAAGTATCTGTATATGTAACAACCACCATTTCAGCCATTTATGAGCTAGGGTGGCATCTAGCATGGCCCTCTTTCAATAAACATCCATGTCAACAAACGTTTAATTTGTTGAATCCCCTTTTCCTAAAAGAGAGAATTTAGAATACCTAAAACACTGTCTGTTTAGTTTTAAATTCTATGCTTTCTTTATAATTATTTTCATTTTTATAACCTTTGGATAGATCTATACTGTATTTTTATTGGGTATTTGCACTAAGCTTTTATTTTTTAAAAAAAATATTAAATCTTGTGCAGTCTAATGTTCCTTTATTTAATTAGTTTATTGGAAAATTAACTAATTCAAAAAATATCTAATATGAGAAGTTATGACACTTGTTACCAAAGATATGCTTAAGATAATATTTAATATAAATAATATTTTTTAAATACACAAAATAATGATGACACAGCAAATTAAACTTTTTTTAATTCCATTAAATTATGATTAATTAGAGATGGCCCACTGAAATGGAAGTGCAAGCTCTTCTCCCCTAAACATCTATTGGCTATGGATGCTGCTATATGGAGACTGGCTAGCTAGTACTTTAGTGAGTATAATATAATTAGTTATGACTTTAATTATTTAACAATAGGAGTTATTCAGTTTGGTTTCTGAAATTTGACCAGCCAATGGCAATTAATTTTGATTTTATTAATTATAATTTTTTA